CCCCGAGCGACCCCGACCTGCTCCGGCCGTGCAAACCGCCCCCCTCAGCTGCTGCGAGCCCCTGCGCCGCGCCGGCGCCCAGAGGGAGAAGTTTGCAGCTTGTACAAATGTGCACATGTTTTACATTAATTAGATAATATCGTTTTCATATTTCTATAAGTATATTTATATATTAGAAACGTAGCATTTATTGGCGCTAGTCTAACTTTGTTTCTAGCACCAGCGGCCACGGCCCAAGCCTGGATCCCCTCCCAAACGCTGAGGCCGTACAGGCCCCTCGGTAACAGCACTAACCCCTTTTCTTCCCAGCTCCTGCTCAGCGATAACAACCTAATAACAAGCACGGGGGGCTTCTGGCCCCGTCTCAGGCCGCGGCTCTGTCCCGGCCCCTCGGGGGGGGCCCCGCACCTCCACCAGCCCCAGAGGGCCCTTTTCCCTCCCACCTGCCAAAAAAATCACTCTGCAGCTTTGCAGTGTGGACTAAGAGCAGTAGTTCACGCATACTGGAGACAGCAGTGGACATCTTACTCGAGTTATCCTGCCCTCTTACTGCATTCTGCCAAGGGGACGGTCCTCTCCCAGTCTTGCATTGCAGCTGTGAGAAAGAAATACCACTTCGGAGTTGCAACGTAGTTTTATCAGCCAAAAAACTGCCATATTTGAAACAGCTCAGTGATATAAAAGTACTTTAACAGTTACTGAGCATGCACCATTTCAACAACCGCCGTGAGCAGGCATTAGAAAGCAAAGTTGGGACAACTATGCCCCTTTGCACGCAAGCAAAAACCTATGTGCATTGGGGAGTGGGGCAAGACATCCACTGATTTTAATAACTTTTTTGCGGCTACTACCTTGCTCAAGAGCCACTGCTCCAATCACAGATATACTTTCTTCATACATACGTTCCCAAGCACTTTCAATATTTATGAAATTGTTATTTAGAAATCAAATTATTGATAAGAAATAATGTTTTTTGCTGTTTCAGTGATTTTAAGTTTAGCACTTTAAGAGATTATAACAGCAAAGAAAACAGGTTAATTGTACTCTCAAATCCCAAAACAAATTTTAATAATTTCCAAGCAAGCATTCCAGTGCACTGCAATAGAATAGAGACAGGACAAGCAAGCACTTGAATATACAAAAACATACATTCTAAGAAGGAAACCAACAAATTAAAGAATCAGAGTAAATCACATTTATTTGTTTTACAAAGGGAAAGAACATACAGATTGGTTAGTCCAACGCTTCCATATCATCTCCAGAGCAAGCCAAGGAACATGCTCTTACAGAACTAGTAGCACTGACTTCACCATCCCTGTTCCAAAAAAATTAAGCAAACTATGGGATAGCATCTGCATCTCAGATCTGATCAGCACCATTGCATCGGTATTCATGTATTTTCAATGTACAGAAATGTTAGCCTCAAATCTTGTCTCAGTATAAGATACTTAAATTCAAAACCAGAGCTTGACATTATTCTTCCAAGTACAGAAAACAACCCTCCAGTCTTTAACCAAAGGCAGTCGCCACAGAAAACAGCTAGCTATTTGCAGTTTAATTTGGTTTGAAAGTTAGTACATTTCACATTCATAAAAAGAGAGGTTAGAGATCAAAATCTTTAATATTTAAAGGAGCAGGTAAATACAGACAACAGTAGTGCAGACTTCTCATGTACTCTGATCCCTCTCTCTTGGGGCTGGATAATTCCAACCTTACTGGAGCACTCAGTTTTGGAACAGAACTATGAAACAAATCAGTTATTTTAAACAACTCCATTACATCCATGTCACACTACATCCTAACAATTCCATTTTTCTCAATTCAGAAGCCCACAGCGCTCAGATCAAGCTTCAACTGGTGTAAGTTCTACGTTTATAGAGGTTTATTGGTTCTAATTATTATATTTTCAGAGCTATTTCAAATATTCAGGATTCTCATTTCAAAAGGCCTCAACAGAAGTCAGTGATACATACTTCAGAAAGAATTTAACCATCATTGCTAATGAGTAGTCACTCATTTCAAGCTCTGTATTTAAGGTACCAGCAATCTTTTACATTGCAACCCACAAGTAGCACACAACTTGTAACATTTATCTACACTGTGTCATCACCATTTACTATAAAGAGCGGGCACTGAACTTTTAAAAGTGTTATTACAAATCAAAGATCACATGTTACTGCAGAGTTAGAATCCACATTCAAGAACCAATAATGCAAATACTTTTAGTAATGTTATTTTATGCATATATTTTTAGATGAGGAATTACACTTGTGTTCTTTGGTCCTTTTCCCTTCAGTTCATAACCAAAAGTCACACCAGACCCTTGAAGTTCACCTAAATGATCACTCAGGTTTTGGTGCAAGAACCTATATCAATCTAGCAGGCAAGCTCCATGAATGGACTTCTAAAATGATCACATTAAGGATCGCTTCATGAATTGGTGAATCCTTTCTAAGTTAAAACAACTTAAAACAACTTGGCCTGAAACATGGGCATTCTTGTTTTACAGAGGGATTGATCTCTACATAGTCCAAAAGCAGCCCCCGAGCTCTTCCCCCCCGCCCCCCGTGTGCCCGCCCAAGGTGTGCAGCTTCCATTGACCAGACCATGTAACCAGCGCTCACTAGCTGGCTGACAACGCAGAGCAATAGTAGAGGCTCTAAACCTGAACTGGGAAGAAGTTATATTCTGTGAAAAGTGCCAGGTTACCTTTCTAAATATGCTCCCTTCCCATTCCTCCCTACCTTTCCAGGGAATAAGAGGCAGAACCACTATCGCGCTTCCCTTCACCACACCCATAACACATAGACTTGATGGACACTACATAACCAAGCTGTTCCTCAAAAGGGCAGTGTCTGGTCAAGCCCACATAAGTATTTCTTAAAGCACAGTGCAATTTTAGTTCGAAGCACTTCCCCTCTCAACATATCTATAAACAAACAAAGCCTATTTTGAAATTCATATCGGAAGTCAAGAATCCTGTTTTGTCTGTATCTTCAAAACAAGATCATGTTTTGCCTTAGTAGAAAACACATCTACGACTGAAGGTGTTTAAAACATTAGGTCTACTCAGCGCTGAAATGTGGGTATGCAACCTGCAGGTGTCCCAGGCTTCCACGACCAAGTTGCATGCAAACTACTTTTGCTTCATTTTTTTCAAATAACGAGCACGTATTTGTTTGTTTGTTCTCATGAGCAAATTCATGACAGCAGGTGAAGGTAGAAGAGATAAGAGCCAGCCCTAAAAAGGGAAGGGGGGAGAAAAAAACCACACACTCAGCTATTATGGCCTGTACTAAGCTAAATCAAATCCATTACCAGCACAAACATTACAAAATTATGATTAAAAGTTAAAGAATGAAAATCACTATTTTAATATTCAAAGCTATTTAATACTTCTCTTCCATAGTGAGCACATTTAAAGAACATATTGCATCCTTACCTCTTCCAAGGTGACTTACCATGACTGCATGCGGTAGGCATCCATTGGTCTGGGACTGCAGGCCTACCGTGCCCAAGGCGGCTCTTACATATGTTTCAGGACTGGGCTTACTGAAGGTTGGCTTGCGGATTTGAGACATTTTCGTTGCCACATAGTATGGTAGAACACTCTGCATACAGGAAAAAAATCACACTAAGCAGAGAATGCTTTCAGATTAACCTACAGATTCATCAAGAAACTAAAATAATCAAAAACTGAATGACCTGTAGATATGCTGAATTCTGAAATATTAACTTAAGCCAGACTTTAATTCTCATTTTAAAATCAGGATGCACAATATCAAAAAGGTTTTTAATCAGGGATCATGGGGGCCATATTTGGGATATGAAGGACTTATATGCTCTGCTGACTGTGAGCACCCCCAGCTGGGGCCCTAGGAAAGCTATTTTTGCAAGAGCATGCCTGAAGAGCCTTTCTTACTATTGTCCTCTAAATGCAAAACACCAGATCTCGCAAGCTTAGAAAGGCTGCAACTTCATCAACGCTTTGGCAAGGACCTCAAGACATGCAAGGTTCTTCTGTAGCTCTACAGGTGATTCAGTACAGAGGCTCATTACTGACCATTACAGTAGTGAACAGCAATTTATGCATCTTTACAGCAAATATCTGAAAAGTGTCATTCCACTTTTACTCCACTAATGAATCTTAAAGTAACAACACTAGCTCTAAACTCAAGTGTATTTGGACAATTTACAGTTCATAAAACTTACCTTGCTCCCGCATTTTAGTCTCTTAAAGAGCAATGACCACACACACTTGATCTGAGAAACATTTGCTTAACTACCTCACTCTGAGGCATAACATGGGGAAAGGACAACTATTACTGGCTATTTAACCATGCAATGGCTGTACACATTTCAACAGGAATTCAAACCACACAAACAAGAAGCATCGTTAGATCAGCTCATTCCTTTGCGCCTTAGGGTTTTAAGAGCATGCATGTCTTTTTATAAATAGCATTTAAAGTATCAAATAATGGGTCTACTTCAAATGGAGAAGAAAAGTCATGAATCCCTGCATTTCAGAAACATGAACAGTTACCATCACCTTCAAAGTCACCAAAAGTCACAAATACTTAAGTAACAAAACCACTTATTTCATTATTGTAATAGCATAGGTACCTACTACTGATTCTAGAAATGTGGACCACATCTATTTTTTAGATTAGATTTCCAAAATGGCTCTCTAATTTGGTGTTTTTACAAAAAATAATGCCAAGGGTTTGTTTTGGAAGCTTCTTATCCGACAATGAATTATATCTCCAATATCCCCACATAGAGTGGATGAAGGTTAGGGTTAAGATTTGCTTCCTTTCTTCCCCTGCTAAAATAGAGTCCCTTTATGAGCTGCACTACCCAGCTAAACCACTGGATAGCATGAAAGGGAAAACAATTGTACACAGGATATTTCAGAAAGCAAGCATGACAGAAGCACTACTGGTTAGTTACTGGTCCACAAGCTTTGCTCTCATGTCCAAGGCACATAGGAACATAAGTTATATGCCATTTTTCCCCCTCCCAAATGCTCTCCAGAAAACAGGTACTTCACTTCAGAAGTATTAGTTTTACCATCTTCCTATTAACTGCGCCATATTTTGTTTTAACAGCTGTGAAGCTGGAGTTTTTTGTTTACTTTTTGTTTTTCGGGGTAAGGGGTTTTTGTATGTTTTTGTTTTTAAACATTTTGTATTCAGGCAGATCTAATGCCCACTATGTGGACAAGGACTTGTATAGACCATTCCCTGCCCTTACCCACATAAGCAGCCTAGTGCGCTCTCAGCTTCAAAACATGCCTTAAAGTAACTTATGCCAATATAAGGTCTCTTGCTCCCTTAAAAGATTTGCCAGTGCTTACAGCTCTGGCCCTTATTAATATTGGCCAGCACTGAGTTGCTTTCTTGAAGGTTATACGGGTGCAGGAAGTCAGATCTCAGGTCTTGAAGATTTTCACATAACTGTAGCCTAAAGTCAAAACTGAGTAAACAAGCTATCCTATCACTTATTTTACCTTGCTCTTAAGACGACCTGAACTCCTAGCTTTTTCAAAGCAGTTTCCTTCCCTTTCTCTGTGGGGAGAAGCAGGGAAGGTGCATAAGGGGGAAATGGAGAAATTGCAGCAACCAAAGTTGACCTGTATAGATTGTGCTAAAAAGTTGTGAGTCTGGAGAAAGGAAATACCACTAGCTGCTGGTCTGATGACAGTACATTTCTGTGAACACCTAAAAGTTGGGGTTGTTTACTGTGGTGAAGAGGAGGCTGGGGGTGACCTAATACCTGCCTGTAACTATTTCAAGGGCAGTTATGAAGATGACAGTCAAACTCTTCTAGCAGTGCCAAGTGAAATAACAAGAGGCAGAACTATCAATTGGCTTGGAGGCTCAGACTGGACACTGGAGAGAAGGTCTTTAGCTAGGAGTGTAGTGCAGCACTCAAACAGGTTGCCCAGAGAGGTCACAGCATCCCAATCCTTTAAGGTTTTCGGGATTTGGCAGTAACATAATATAGAGGAAGAAGTGCTGATACTGATAACAGTTAGAAAGGGAGATAAAAGAACAGGGAAACCAGAAAGAACTAGACCACATTTTCACACACAAAGAACAAAATTTCAGATGAGTCTGCAGAAATCTTTTC